CGTTAAGCCCGGCCGCGAGGCTCTTCCATCAGCCGCACTTCAACTGCAACATCATAGCGATGATGGGGACGGCGAAGACGATCGACGTTGACGCCGTTAAAGCCGGGCTCGAGGCTAGTATCGCCCGTCACCCCCGCTTCTCTAGCGTCGTGGTAATAGCTTTGAAATCCTATTCTTGCATAGAAACCCCTCTTACTGCTGGATGTGCGACTTCTAACTACTTCAATGTTCATATTGTGATGTTATCGAATCGATAGTAAATTATCCGTCTCTGAACCCAATGAATACCAGCAAATGATGACCACAGAAATCATAAGTTCATAATACTTTTAATTCTGTTACGTCAGGAACGTGTCCTTCTTCATTGTTTATAGTCAAGGGTCCTCCTTGCCAATTTACTATAGTGATAATACTAGCCGTACTATGCTGTTTTTGTACTAATCAAATTAACAGTGTTATTTGAGATGGTATCAGAGGCATGTGAGAATCCTAGTCGCTACATATTTCTATAGGAGATTTTGAAAAAGAAGAAGAAGAGTGATCTCAGCTTTATGAGAACATATTAGAAAGTAACATTATAACCCTCATCCCTCATCACAACTTCGGAGTTTTGGTGCAGGGGCAAATTCCTTTAACATGATACTGAAATGCTATCAATACGCATGGTATGTCAGAGCATAAAATTATATCCCTCTACTCTTAGTACAACTTGGGAGTTTTGATTTGGTGTTTGCGTCCTTTAACATAGCTTGAACTTTACAGTTTAGTTATCGCGATTATTACTGTGATTTATTAACCCTCTTTAGGAATGGTGCGTTTAGCCCTTGCAAGCCATCACCATCAATTAATTTTGTTTTTATGTACGATAAGATCAACCTCTAATTCCTAAGAATGTGCTAGTTTCTAATACTATCTATATCATTGTGTATACCTAAATGTTCGTCATAACAACAAGAAATGCTGAAATTGATATCTATATTTGTTGACCATTATTTAGTAGAAAATGATGACAGAGTTGTCCTAAACTAAATATAGATATCTTTGTTAGAAAGCTAAATACAGACACCCAATTAGTATTTTTTATAGTAATTAATTTAATTTGTGATCCTAAGTGGAATATAATTGGTAAAAGTTATCAAGATTCTGTGGTATTCAGGGAATTGCAAAAAACCCATGATGTATATATACTCTACTCAGAAGGAAAGAGCCAGTGACGGGTATGTGCTGCTTCTACGCCCATCATAAATGTCTGCTATTGTTTTTTTTTTTTAAATTAATGCCTGAACCAAATCAACAGTTCAACACCCCAATGGCACGGACTTGTGAATGAAAATGTGATAGTGTAGAATTTGTATCCATTCACAAAATTGGGTAGGTTACGGATGCCATTATATTATGTAGATCAGAAAGAGGATAAATCCTGTTGACTGTTGAGGCAGGGCCTAAAGGATGGATCTGGACTTGAAATAATTCAAGTAACTTAATTTAGAAAAAAAAACATAAAAAATAAAGAAGAGTTTATTTTGGTTATCCTTGAACTTAAAAAGGTTGGATATGATGTGGTTCTGAGTTTCCCTTGTTTGCTTTATAATTTTTTGTTGCTTGCATTAAATGTGAAATACCCGATAACCTGGCAGGTATAGTAAACAAGCACTCTACTGCATCCATATCCTATATTGAGATCAGGTTAAGTATGGGTCTAACATTTTTTTCCTTCAGGTTTGAAGCTCTGTATTCACTACTTCTTGCTTCGTTTGGCGTTATTGCGCATCTCTCATGTAGTATTCAAGGCTAAACAGCTTGTTAATTATGCAAATTGTATCTAATTTCTGGATAGAGAAACTAGAAGAAGGTATAGTTAGCCTGTAAATGTTAGGGAGCGAATTAAACCTGAACCCTAACAAGTGGGTGTTGGTCTTAGTTTATTTAAAGGGGCAAAGGCAACCATCTGATCCTTCTATGAAACAGGTTGAGAATACTTACAAATCTTGTACCTGTTTTAACCCAGAATAACTGGTTTAATTTCATTACATCTATGCCGCTTGTTATTTTAATAGTTCAATGGTTACTTCTAAATTATTATCTCAATGGGCTAAGGATTAAGTCACCCAAGTTTTTTAAGCCTTTTCTTTTCAAATAACTAATTTCACTATGAGGATATCACAAAATTGAATTTTCTTGTAAGCTAGTGTATTAAGATTGTTTAGCAAGTGCAATTCTTCTAAGTCTCACTTTATTGATTTTCTTTTTTGAATTGTTGAAATTATACCTCAAAACCCTCTGATTGTTCAATTCAGCTAATGGATCATCGATGGTCAAGTAGAGATCATCGATAGTCACTTTGATCATCGATGGGTTACAGTGAATAATCGGAGAAAAACAGAAACATGATTTTGAACCAGCGATGGATTACAGGGAACCATCGTTGGACTGTAAGAGATCATCGATGGTCGTGTTTGACCATCGATGGTTATGACGCTGATTGCAGTTTTTGATGATTTAATCTTAGCCCTTTTTTTTTCTTTTGATCTCCAACTTCTACTAAGTTTTGGGTACCTCTTTCCTGATCTATTGTTGTCTTTTATATACTAAAATAGAGAGAATATAGATTAGGGTTTTTTGTGAGGATTGAAGAAGGAGAGTTTGAGGGTTTAGTATTTTGCCTTATTGTTTGTACTTCTTTCTTTTTTGATAGTGGAATTTCTCCGACGTCTTTGTTGTGGACGTAGCCCAAATTGGGCGAACCAGTTAAATCTCCATGTTTGCGATTGCTTGTCGTTTATTCTCGTGCTTGTTTTTCGCAATGATTTCCGCTTTATTGTGCACTTGTTCTAACACGAACCGACAAAGTTTAATCTTGATGTAGGCTATATGTTTGATATGAGGCTGATGGAACTATTTTGGCCCTAGTTTGACAGCCTGGCTTCAATTAGTGAAACATGCATCATTTGATGTCCTCTGAAGGCAAATGTTCAAATTTGAAACCTGTCTCTTTTAGGCAACTGAATTAGGTTTTTGAAACCACAGTTCAAGAACCCTCAACAGCAGTGATTCATAGAGCAGTATCTTGGTTTTAGTTTCAAAAGAGTCAATTTCAGTTAATATTTCACTTCCGTTAACTCTACTAGGCAATGATCTTTATTTAGAAGCTTTTAGCCAATTTTACAAATGGAAAACTCTTGCTTTACGCGATGCCAAGAGACAACATTTATAGAACTATCAGTTTTGTGCTAAATAAGCAAGTATGCTAAGATAAACTTTAATAGGTCTATCCACACAGATGCTTAGATAGCTGTTTTGCAGGGGCAAGTAAGAACTAGTATACTCTTCATGTTGTGAGTGTTATTTCATAGTCTATTATAAATTCAGTTCATTGCCAAAATAAATATCATCCCTAAGAATAGAGTGACTAGTACAAACTTACATAATCTTTTTTTCATGATTAGGTATCAGATGACCCAGGAAGCAAAAGTTCGAAATGGGTACCAACAAAAGTAATCATAGATGATCATATAATAATCCCAAATATAAACCCCCCACAAACTACCACCGCCACCTCAGCAGACCGACTCGTCGAAGATTATGCATCTTCCCTCACTACTACCTCTCTACCTCACTCCCAGCCTTTATGGGACTTCCACATCATCAACATGCGGACTTCTGAAGCCGAAGCTGTTGCAATCCTCAGAATCCATCACTCCCTCGGTGATGGTGTCTCTCTCATGTCGCTTCTTCTTGCTTGCACTCGAAAGACATCACATCCAGATTCATTGCCATCTCTTCCTGGGGCAAAAAGACAGAGGGAAACGAACTCTGATGTAAGTGGGACTGGAGTTTGGGGCTTGATACTTCGGATTTGGGCTATGTTGGTGCTTATGTGGAACACATTAGTGGATGCTGTGGTTTTTATGGCGAGTTCTGCTTTTTTGAAGGATACAGAGACGCCGATAAAGGGGGTGGAGGGGGTTGAGCTTCACAAGAAGCGGATTGTTCATAGGACGCTGAGCCTGGATGATATCATGCTTATCAAGTATGCTGTTGGGGGTGTAAGTTCTTCTGGTCTTTTGTGCTTTGTTCTATTATCTAAATTCTATGGCATGATTTAGAACTACTGTCTATTTTGAGCATGTATTTGATAGATTCAATTTGGGGCTTAGATTGAGTTACGTACTGTTGGATCCAAATCAAGTTGATTCTTTCAGTTACAACATCGTGTATTTGCGTTTCTACTTCTTAGTATTAATACTAGCACAACATATACTGATATACTGCAGACCATTAATGATGTTCTGGTTGGTGTGACATCCGCTGGTCTCTCACAATATCTCAATAGGAGATATAGTAGCACTGCCAATGGGGAAAAGAAAGAGAACAGCCTTCCAGCTAAAATAAGACTCCGAACAACTGTTCTCGTTAATATCAGGCCTACACCAGGAATTCATGTAAGCATTTTAATCAGTTAGTCTTGTTTTCCATCAGAAATTTGATGTCGTTAAGTTCTATGATTACTGCAATACGAATTGTGGTTGATTTCTGAGATATGTAGGCATTGACTGAGATGATGGAAGGCGGGAAAAGTACCAGGTGGGGCAATTGGCTTGGCTACATTATACTAAACTTTCCCATACTTATGTATGAGGACCCCCTGGATTATGTTCGCAAGGGGATGAAGAATACAGAGAGGAAAAAGAATTCTTTGGAGGCGATATTTACTTATACTAGTGGTACTCTCATTGTCAAACTATTGGGAATTAAGGTATGCTGAATAATCCAACAACTTAAACATGATGCTGCTTAGTTGTCAATGTGATTTCGGTTTCATCACTGTAGACCTAGTTTGCTAATTTTCTATTTTTAGGTGGTATTGCTACCACATAATGTAAACTAACGAATAAAATCTACTTGCTGTAACTATACATATGCTGGAAATTGTATCGATTATTTTTCTCCATAGTGTTTAATAATTTTATTCTTTGACCTGCAGCAACTTTTGTTTGCAATTTTTCCTTGCATAATATCTGCTTCTTTATTTATGTAAATGTGTCCTTTTGTCACGGTAATTTCCTTTTCTTCAAGGGACGATCGTTTTTAGGTTCTCAAATGTTTTCCCATTTTAATTCTGATTTCTAGGCATTGATCATTAAACCTCTGTAATGCTGGTTTCAACATTAAAAACTTTTCCATGCTAATTTTCTATTTGTTAATTTGCCACAAATGTTTTGGATACATGAGAAATAGGAGACCAAGTGAAATACCATTTACTTTGCTTTTCTGTGCTTTCGGGTTTATGTTTTGGACCTTAAGTATGTTAGAAATATGATCAGTCAAACAAGCACTATGAAAATCAAATTTAATAGAATTTCTGCAAATGATGAGATGTATAACTAATAAAGTTCAATTAATATGGTAATATTTGGTTTTACAGTCTTATCCAAGCAAATCGAAATGCATGCTTTGTGTAATACAGATAGGACTTGCCATTTTCACCTTCATAACTTCAAGAAAATATTTACATTTGGTAGGAAAAAACATAATGCAACATCACCAAATGACCTGGTGACCTCTCAAATATAACCATACTTCCTGCAGCTCTAACTCCTTAACTTTTCCCCATACTATAATAAGATTGTTTTTCCATTTCTCGATCTCTACTTTTTTTGTTTGATAAATTTATCTAAGGCCTTCTTCTTTTACTGGACATCAGGCAGCTGCAGCTCTCTGCTACAGAGTTCTACGCCATACAACTATATCATTCTCGAATATAGTTGGACCAATCGAACAAGTTTCATTTTATGGCCATCCTCTGGTTTACATTGCTCCTACTGTCTATGGCCATCCCCAAGTAAGTTCATCTTTAATAGATTACATTGCTCCTACTGTCTATGGCCATCCCCAAGAAAGTTCATCTTTAATAGATCAGATTTGTGTGTGTGCGCGCGCGCGTGTTATTATTATTATTTTTGTTAACAATTCAAGAACTAGATTACATTTTCCATGGGCACAACATGTTAGATCTACATCATAAAACTTGAGATCTAAAACCATATAGCCATGATTAATTCAAAGAGATTAACAAGGATCTAAAAGAGCGGAAGCTTATACCTGAATCCATTGCTTGATCTTGATTTTGGGTGTTGGATCTTCTAACCTTAGGGTTCTCTCTAAAACCGAATTTCTCTAGCTAGATGGGGGTGTAGAGAATTAGAGAATGTAACCCTAGGTTAGGGACCATAACCCCTTATTTATAGATGTTGTACTTTTGTAATTTAGCCCCTCAATAAATTACAATTACAACCTGGTATCTGCACATATAACCCCATAACTTATTTAAATACCAAATTAACCCAACTTAATTGATCACTTTAGTGGGTTATCCTGAAAGATAGCAATACACATTGATTAATCATATGTACCCACAAATAGATTTATTAGATTAAATCCAACAATCTCCCACTTGGGCACCATATGATTCCTTAAACTGTGTATAACCTTATGAGCTCAAAAATTGCTATCACTGAAATGGTATTTCCGAACAATCTCGTCCATTGACTATATCAATATAGGATCAAAGCGGCCTTCGTCACATTTATCGTGACTCGACCCATCAATGGTCACATATACCAATACAATCAAACGACATAGATCAATCATGGATGTGCAGCATGAAAATTACATGCAATGTGATCAGTACATGTCTATTTTCAACTGGTCCTCCTTAGTGAGGTCAAAACCAAACATAATGTAACAGAGTGTCTTAACTGAAAACTTTATTCTGATCAGACAATACAAACAAACATAAAGCACCACAAATACAAACTCCCACTAAAACATAATATCCTCAAATAATACCACACCCATATGAGCAGTATGCTCATGAAAGACCTTAGGTGGCAATCCCTTAGTAAGAGGATCAGCTAACATGGAGTTTGTCCCAATGTGCTCTATGGATATCTGTCCACTCTGTACCCTTTCTTTCACAACCAGGAACTTAATGTCAATATGTTTTGACTTAGTTGAGCTCCTGTTGTTATTGGAATACATTACTGCAGATTTATTGTCACAATATAGCCTTAGTGGTCTTTCAACATTTTCCAAAATGCGCAGTCCCGTGACAAAATTTCGCAGCCATATTCCCTGATTGGATGCCTCATAGCAAGCTACAAATTCTGCTGCCATAGTGGAGGAAGCTACTAGTGTTTGTTTGACACTTTTCCATGATATAGCTCCTCCTGCTAACATATAAATGTAGCCTGATGTAGACTTCCTGCTATCTTGGCATCCAGCAAAATCAGAGTCCGAATACCCAATGACCTCTAATTTCTCTGATTTTCTGTATGTGAGCATGTAATCTTTTGTTTTCTGAAGATACCTCATAACCCTTTTGACTGCTATCCAATGATCCATACCAGGGTTGCTTAAGTATCTGCCTAACATCCCAACAATGTACGCAATATCCGGACGCGTACATACCTGAGCATACATTAGACTTCCTACAGCCGAAGCATAAGGAATCTTCTGCATTTCCTGAATTTCAAGGTTACCTTTAGGGCACTGATTGAGACTAAACTTGTCTCCTTTAGCAACAGGGGTGTCACCTGGTCTGCAATCTTGCATGCCAAACCTTTTAAGTACCTTATCGATATAGCTCTTTTGTGATAATCCAAGAATACCCCGAGAGCGATCTCGATGTATCTGGATCCCTAATATAAAAGAGGCGTCCCCAAGATCTTTCATCTCAAAATTCTTTGATAGAAATCTCTTGGTTTCGTGCAACATGCCTATATCATTAGTGGCAAGCAAGATGTCATCCACATACAGAACCAGAAAAATATACTTACTCCCACTGAACTTGTGATATACACAGTCATCAACAATGTTCATCTCAAAACCGAACGAGATAACTATTTGTTGAAACTTATGATACCATTGACGAGGAGCTTGCTTGAGTCCATAGATGGATTTCCTTAATTTGCAAACCATATTCTTTGGGTCTCCTGACACAAAGTTTTCTGGTTGCACCATATAAATCATCTCATCAATGTCTCCATTGAGAAATGCAGTCTTAACATCCATCTGATGTAACTCAAGATCATAATGAGCAACAAGTGCCATGATTATTCTGAAAGAGTCTTTCGATGAAACCGGAGAGAAAGTCTCTGTATAATCAATGCCTTCCTTTTGAGTATAGCCTTTAGCCACAAGACGCGCCTTATACCTCTCCACATTACCGTTTGCATCCCGCTTGGTTTTAAAAATCCATTTACAACCAATTGGTTTTGCACCTTCTGGCAATGGGACAAGTTCCCAAACCTTATTGTCTTGCATAGACTTATACTCTTCATTCATGGCATCAATCCACTGTTGAGAGTTAGAACTTTTCATGGCCTGAGAGAAGTTGATTGGATCATCTTCTAACATTCCACTACTTTCCTCATGTTCTTGGAGAAATACAATATAATCATCCGGAATAGCATTTCTCCTTTCTCTCGTGGATCTCCTTAATGGCACTGGTTCTTGAGGTTGTTGAGTTTGTTCTTCTGGAACAGGGAGTTGTTCAACATTATCATCTTGAGGTTCCGGATTTACTTCTTGAGCAACAACAGGTATAGGAACCTGAATATTGTCAAAAGTAACTGTATGGATTGGATCTGAAGCCAATTCCTCCTCAAAACTAATGTCTCTAACCTTATTTCTCCCCCCAAACTCAACATCCTCAAAGAATGTTGCTGTTCCCGTCTCAAAAATATTCCTTATAGTGGGATCATAAAACTTATAGCCCCTAGAGCGATCAGGGTACCCAATAAAGTAGCTGCTAACTGTTTTGGAGTCCAATTTCTTTTCATTTGGCCTATAAGGCCTTGCCTCAGCTGGACATCCCCAAATATGTAAATGCTTTAAACTGGGCTTTCGACCAGTCCAAAGCTCATAAGGTGTTTTAGCAACTGCTTTACTTGGTACTCTATTCAGAATGTAAGCTGCTGTCTTAAGTGCTTCTCCCCAGAGTGACTCTGGTAAAGAAGAATGAGCAATCATACTTCTTACCATATCCTTAAGAGTCCTGTTTCGTCTTTCAGCTACACCATTCATGCTAGGTGAACCCGGCATAGTGTACTGTGGGACGATACCGCATTCCTCTAGGTATCTAGCAAATGGTCCTGGACGTTGTTCACCTGAACCATCATATCTACCGTAGTACTCACCACCACGATCAGATCTGACGGTTTTAATTCTTCTGTTGAGTTGATTCTCAACTTCAGCTTTATAGGCTTTGAACATGTCCAGAGACTCAGATTTTTCATGAATAAGATATAGGTGCCCATAACGTGAGTAATCGTCTATGAATGATATAAAATATTGTTGACCATTCCAGGATTCCGTAGGGAATGGCCCACAAATATCCGTATGTATCAATTCTAAGACATCCGAAGATCTGTTGGCACCTAATCTCTTCACTTTGGTCTGTTTTCCCTTGATACATTCAACACATACGTCGAAGTCCGAAAAATCAAGGGAATCCAAAATGCCATCAGACACAAGACGCTCAACTCTACCTTTTGAGATATGACCTAAGCGCTTATGCCATAATGTCGCCGAATTTTCCTTATTTAATTTACGCTTAGTACCACGTGATTCCACATGCAAGGATTCATTGTAAGAAGCAATTGTATCAAGCAAATATAGGTTGTCATAAATACTCAAGTAACCGGTTCCCACAACATTTGAATTAAAAGATAAACTGAATTGACTGTTTCCAAATGAACAAGAATAACCTGATTTGTCCAATACAGAAACAGAAACCAAATTCCGTCTAAAAGACGGTACTACAAAAGTATCTTTTAAATCCAAATAATAACCAGTTCCTAACAACAACCTAAAGTGCCCAATTGCTTCCACATCTACCGATTGTCCGTCGCCCACAAAGATGTGTCTTTCAACATCACTTGGCTTTCGGTAGCTCAGGCAACCCTGCATAGAAACACTTATGTGAGTAGTAGCACCAGAGTCTAACCACCAAGTGTTTCTAGGTACTGAAGCTAAATTAACCTCAGAACAGACCAAAGCAAGGAACGTACCCTTATTATCACGCCAGGCGTGATATTTTGTACAGTCCTTCTTTACATGTCCAGGCTTCTTACAGAAGAAACAACCCTGATTATCCTTATGTTGTTTCTTCTCAACTGGACCCTTAGCAGCTTCCTTATCATTCTTCCTTTTCTTGCCCTTATCCTTAGAGGCATAGGCCAAATGAGCACTTTCTGTCTTATCTTGCTTCAACCTGTCTTCTTCTTGCACACAGTATGAAATGAGCTCATTTAGAGTCCATTTCTCCTTTTGACAGTTATAACTGACCTTAAATTGGTTAAACTGTGCAGGAAGAGACAACAAAACCAGATGCACTAATAACTCGTCACAAAGATCGAGTTTAAGTGCCTTAAGCTTTGAAGCAATATGAGACATTTCCATAATGTACTCCCTGATATTTCCTTTGCCCTTATACTTCATTGAAATCAAGCGAGCTAAAAGCGTGCTTGTTTCTACCTTATCGTTTTTCGCAAAACGCTTCTCAATTTCGGCAAGGAAATCTTTAGCCTTAGTAATCCCTTCGGATTCTATGCCCCTGAAGGCTTCCGGAACGCCGCGCTTAATGATCATAAGACTCATGCGATTTGAACGCTCCCACTTCTCATGCTCCTTCTTTGCATCAGGAGTGCTATCCGCATGAGGCTCGACTAAAGCACGAACGCGAGGTTCGTCTGAAGTACGAACGCGAGGCTCGACTGAAGTACGAACGCGAGGCTCGTCTGAAGTACGAACGCGAGGTTCGTCTGAAGTACGAACGCGAGGTTCGTCTGAAGAACGAACGCGAGGTTCGTTAAAAAATTGAGCTTGACGCTCACCTGAGTTGAACGCGAGGTTCACCTTAGAACGAACGCGAGGTTCGTTAAAATTGAGCTTGACGCTCACCTGAGTTGAACGCGAGGTTCACCTTAGAACGAACGCGAGGTTCGTTAAAATTGAGCTTGACGCTCACCTGAGTTGAACGCGAGGTTCACCTTAGAACGAACGCGAGGTTCGTTAAAATTGAGCTTGACGCTCACCTGAGTTGAACGCGAGGTTCACCTTAGAACGAACGCGAGGTTCGTTGAGCGCGAAGCTCGGTTAAAATTGAACGAACGCGAGGTTCGTTTGAGGTAACCACCTCCTTAATTTTCGCCATGAACCCTTAGGGTTTCAAATTGAAACCGCCGCCGACAAACCCAAAAAACCTTTGATTTTTATTTTCAAAACAGATCCAGAATTGGAAAAAATTGAAGGAAAAATCAAAGAAAAATCCAAAAAATTCCCAAAAGTTACTGTTCACCGGTGATTTTTCAGTTACTGTTCATCCGAAAAAATACTTTACTGTTCATCCGAAAAAAAATTTCGTTGCTGTTCACCGAACATTACTGTTCATCCGAGAACATTACTGTTCATCCGAACCCAAAAATTGAATCTTTAACCAGAGATTTAAGATCAAAAACCCAATAAAACTTAAATCCCTAAGAATTAATCAAGGTGGCTCTGATACCACTTGTTAGATCTACATCATAAAACTTGAGATCTAAAACCATATAGCCATGATTAATTCAAAGAGATTAACAAGGATCTAAAAGAGCGGAAGCTTATACCTGAATCCATTGCTTGATCTTGATTTTGGGTGTTGGATCTTCTAACCTTAGGGTTCTCTCTAAAACCGAATTTCTCTAGCTAGATGGGGGTGTAGAGAATTAGAGAATGTAACCCTAGGTTAGGGACCATAACACCTTATTTATAGATGTTGTACTTTTGTAATTTAGCCCCTCAATAAATTACAATTACAACCTGGTATCTGCACATATAACCCCATAACTTATTTAAATACCAAATTAACCCAACTTAATTGATCACTTTAGTGGGTTATCCTGAAAGATAGCAATACACATTGATTAATCATATGTGCCCACAAATAGATTTATTAGATTAAATCCAACACAACAATCAGGCCTTTTTACCAGGATGTGCATGGGTATTTCGTATTTATGCCGTGTCAAATTTTGCAATCTGATTACATGTTTGTTGGAATTTGGACAGGCTGTTACGCTTCACTTCCAGAGTTACATGAAGAAGATAAAGGTGGTTCTGGCAGTGGATGAGCTCTCTGTGCCTGATCCTCATCAGCTTCTGGATGACTTGGATGAATCTCTCAAGCTCATTAAGGATGCAGTTGTTACGAGATCAATGTGATATATAGAAGCATACTTCAGATATACTCATACACGCGAAGAAAGGACGGACGTGTTGTCTGTGTTGTTATATGTTTATCACAATGTACAGAAATTATAGGACTGTATACATTCTATAGCGAAATGCTTTTTGGCTCGCAAAAAGCAACGCGCAACCAGCGCGCAAGAGAGAGGAACAGGGGGGTGGGCCCCCCAGCTGTGGGGCCCACCCCCTGTTCCTCTCTCTTGCGCGCTGAGTGCGCGTTGCTTTTTGCGAGCCAAATAGCAGCTCTGCATTCTATAGGAGGAAATCATGTAAACAAGAACGCTTTGTAAATTGTGAAGCTGAAGACCGGGAAGTCTCAACAAGAATTCAATAAAATATTTCTAGACCACATAAACAAAGAAATGTCTAATCAAAGCTGAAGTACTTGTATATGATGGTGAAAACTAGATTTTAGATATTATTATTCCAGCTGACAGCGTAGATTGCTTTGCAAATTGAAAGAAAACACAAATTAGTGGGAACTTTGCACATTGTAAATGTCAGTGTTTCAAATTTTTTTTCTTCATCTTGAAGTACTACTCATAGACAGTTTACCAACTTAGCTAGACTCTCTTAGGTGAATTTGGACGAATAATTGCTCCCGATGGATAGTAATATATTTGGTGACCAGATCTTTGTACCAAAATCGAAGACAGTTACTAAGAAACGAACTTAGTTCAGTACAAATTATCCTTTTTTTTTTAAAAAGTCTTGTAGTTTTCCTCTTTTATGATTCAAACGTACGAACCTATTGTCAAAAAAGATAAGAAAATTATTTTTGAGACAATAGTAAGAATGAATAAATAAGATTAGGATCAAAATGAGTATACGTGTGACTTTTGAAAGATAAACATATCTAACACACAAACTATAGGAAGATCACAATCTTTTAACCAGAGAAGATAGAGGGGGTCTAATGCCATTACTTTGTAGTAGGTAAACCTACAGTTACTATCAAGTTGTAAAACAACGATGTTAAGGTACTATAATAAAACAATGTTGCCCTTTTGAGCTGATTAGCACTTAGCACTTAGTACCCTATAGTCTCCCCTAGTTTTTTACTTCTATCTTCACTTGTTTTTGGCAACTCTTATATACCCTAAAGTTTCAAAAAATTGACTTTAAAATCTCCTGGAAGTCAAAAATTATTCGAAGACGATTTTTTGGGTCTATTTGTCTAATCGTGCAATTTTTAATACCTTATCGTTGACGGAGGGGGGGAAAACCAATTTGGTAATTTAGGTCTCATTTTTAATACTAAACTTAGCCTAGTATTATGTTCAGTCTAATAGCAAACTTAACAAACATTAATAGTGAAAAAGTTATAAAATTAGCTTGTGAATGTCACATGGACAAATTCGGAAAAAAATCTCACATTTGGATGACAAAAATATTAAAGTACAAATTTTAGAAACTTTGGGGTAGGTAAACGTTGCCAAATAGGGTACACAAGTGCCAATTAGGGAAAATTATAGAGTATTTAAGTGCTAATTAGCCTCCTTATAAATGCTGAGCATTTATTCCTCAATTTCCCTTTGGACAGATCGGTAAGAAGAGCGATGGGCGTGAGAAAGAGGCCGCTCACAATCAACACAGAGAGGGAGATGGGGCCCAGAGGAGGGGTTGACGGCGACATAACGGAGGAGGAGGGACAGCCGTTAAGTCCAGCAGGGAGATTGTTTCATCAGCCCCACTTCAACTGCCACATAATATCGATAATGGGGTCGGGGAAAACGATCGACGTTGACGCCGTCAAGGCCGGGCTGGAGCGGACCATGATCCGTCACCCCCGCTTCTCTAGCATCCTGGTGAGGTTACCGCCTTTTTCTCACTTTGATTTTTGTCAGGGTGCTACGCGCTATAGGGACCCGAAATAGAGGATCCAATGACGGGACAGGTGAGGTGTCCACCCCTAAATAAATGATGCCCTGTTCATGAACAGTGCATCATGCATTCAGAGAGGGACACCTCATCTTTCCTCATTGGGTCTTCTATTTGGGGTCCTCGAGACATTTTTGTTTTTGTTATTACTTCTAGAATTATTGCACGTGCAAAAACACATTAAAATTATATTATTCTAGCCTTTATATATAAGGTCACTTTAATATCCTAAAATCTCATCCATTTTTATAAGATCCTCTTATCGTATCAGTTCATATGATATACAATATTTTAGTTCATTTGATATGCGATATTTTAATCTAATTTTATTAGTAATTTGCTATATGACATGCATTGCAATTTGAGTGAGGATATAATTATCCTAGAAATATGGTTAAAATAGTTTTTAACGCTTTATCTTTGAATTATTGTAGTTAATTATTTTTCAGCAAGTATTTTAGCTATAGACTCTGGATTATATTTACATTATAACATAATGAAATATAGCAATGCTTAGGTGTTTTTGGAACATAAACTCAGGGGTATTTTGGTCATACATGAACCATATTGTGAGACCCTGAGCATTTGAGGGACTTACAAGCAGTTTCAAGAATTTGAGAGACTAATATAGAATTATTGAAGATTTGAGGCACTAATATCTGAGTAAACCTTTATTTTTTTAAACCATAAAACCATATAACAATAAAATTGTCCTTGAAAATTACAATAATTTACAAAATTAGGTTGGGAGCTCCATTTTTGTTAACCGTTTCTTTCGAAATATAGAGAGAATAGATTAAAAATATATAGAGGGAGTAATTAAAGAATCTTATTTACGATCAGTGCCTTTTGTACTCTGGAAAAATACTTTTCTGAGTACGGATCGAAGCTATCGGCACTATTTAACTCCATTTTACAGTTAAGTACGGTTTTGTGTGGGTAATTACTCTTGTTACAATTTCTTTGCTGCACGAAATTATAAAAAAATGTTTCATAACGGAAATTAGGAAAAACTGAAGTTTGGTGTGACCTTCAAGAGTTGCGGCATCTAAGGCCCAAAAGAAATGGGGCGCATTTCACATGACTTAGAAAAACTTCATTAACTATTGGTAATAATATTAAGTATTTGTTAGGAGAGCCACTTCCGGAGCTCATTTTTTGACTTGATCTGCTTGAAAAAAAGAAAAAGAAAAACCATGGTTTCCATGTTAATTCATAGGGAAAAATGTGTCAAGGCCCCAAAAGCAAAAACTTCATGTGACCAGCCCCCTTATATTTTCCCCAATGTGGATAAGCCCCAAATACCTACAGTATTTGTGACGAGGCCCTAAAGTATCACTTTTAAAAAAAAGCCCATGGGAAGTTACGAACTTACCCATTTGATGAGACTGTACTCGTTTACTACGCCCCCTTCCTATTCAAGAACCATGCCTCTCTCTCTCATCTCTCTCTCTCTCTCTCTCTCTCTCTCTCTCTCTCTCATCTCTCTCTCTCTAAAACCAAGGACTTTCTGAAGTCTGTCACCCTAGCCCTCGCCCTCCTCGCCGTCGTCGCCTCCGCCCAGGGCCCCAAGCCTCCCCTCGAGTTCGCCGCCGCCTCCCCTCCTCTCCTCCGCCCGCCCTCCTCGCCATAGCTCGCCGCTGCTCCCCGCCTCACCCTCGACTACGCCGGAGTTCGTCGCTGCCACTCTCCGCCTTAAGTTCAGCGTTTCCCTCTCCTCCTCTCCTCCACCCGAGCTTGCAGCTGGAGCTCGCCACCCGCCTAGCCCGCGATCGCCGCCGCTCCGATCATGATGGTCTGCAGAGACCACCTGCTCCAACTCCAGTGTATTAGAACTAAATGTCATCAATGCATTTACATCACGAGCAGATTTCAAATTTGATATATGCAGATTTATTAGTTCTATGTTTGTTGGTTTTGGTTCCTTTCACGAGCTTTGAAATGAAAGCTAAGTCATCAATGAATCATTCTGAGTGCTAATATATTATGTTGAAAAGAATTATAAGTTTATTTCAGTCCCCTCTGGGAAGCAAAGTTTCTTTTACTGGTTGAAATATGCTTTTTAATGTTTGCCATAGTTTTGCTAGTTGAAATCAAGCTGGCTTACGAATTTTGCCTTCTGTTGTAAGAAGCTGCCAACATCATCCATAATATTTCTCTTTTTTCCCCTTGTCACTGAAATACCACGTTAGTTCTATTTTATACCACGTTAGTTCTAATTTATACCACTTAGTTCTATTCTGTAGAGTGTTAGTTCTAATCTGCACAGTGTTAGTTCTATTCTGTAGAGTGTTAGTTCTAATCTGCACAGTGTTAGTTCTATTCTGTAGCGTGTGATGGCTTGTTAGTTCTATTTTATTACACTTTATATCTAATTTATACCACGTTATATCTAATTTATGTTAGTTCTAATTTAAACCACGTTATAAACCTAATTTATACCATGTTATATCTCATTTATACCAAGTTAGTTCTATTTTATAACAAGTTAGTTCTAATTTAAACCACATTAGTTCTAATTTATACCAAGTTAGTTCTATTTTATACCATGTTAGTTCTAATTTATACCAAGTTAGTTCTAATTTATATCAAGTTAGTTCTATTTTATAACAAGTTATAATTCTATTTTATAACACGTTAGTTCTAATTTATACCAAGTTAGTTCTATTTTATACCCGTTAGTTCTAATTTATACCACATTAGTTCTAATTTATACCACGTTAGTTCTAATTTATAACAAGTTAGTTCTAATTTATACCATTTTAGTTCTATTTTATACCACATTAGTTCTATTTTGTAGAGTGTTAGTTCTAATCTGCACAATATTAGTTCTATTCTGTAGAGTGTTAGTTCTAATCTGCACAGTGTTAGTTCTATTCTGTAGAGTGTTAGTTCTAATCTGTACAGTGTTAGTTCTATTCTGTAGAGTGTTATTTTCTAATCTGCACAGTGTTAGTTCTACTCTGTAGAGTGTTAGTTCTAATCTGCACAGTGTTAGTTCTATTCTGTAGCGTGTGATGGCTTGTTAGTTCCATTTTATTACACGTTATATCTAATTTATACCACGTTATATCTAATTTATGTTAGTTCTAATTTAAACCACGTTATAAACCTAATTTATACCATGTTATATCTCATTTATACCAAGTTAGTTCTATTTTATAACAAGTTAGTTCTAAAATTTTAACCAAGTTTGTTCTAATTTATACCAAGTTAGTTCTATTTTATACCACGTTAGTTCTAATTTATACCAAGTTAGTTCTAATTTATATCAAGTTAGTTCTATTTTATAACAAGTTAGTTCTAATTTAAACCACATTAGTTCTAATTTATACCAAATTAGTTCTATTTTATACCAAGTTAGCTCTAATTTTAACCACGTTAGTTCTAATTTATACCACGTTAATTCTAATTTATACTACGTTAATTCTATTTTATAATACGTTAGTTCTACTTTATACCAAGTTAGTTCTATTTTATACCACGTTAGTTCTAATTTATACCACATTAGTTCTATTTTATACCACGTTAGTTCTAATTTATAACAAGTTAGTTCTAATTTATACCATTTTAGTTCTATTTTATACCACGTTAGTTCTATTCTGTAGAGTGTTAGTTATAATCTGCACAGTGTTAGTTCTATTCTGTAGAGTGTTAGTTCTAATCTGCACAGTGTTAGTTCTATTCTGTAGAGTGTTAGTTCTAATCTGCACAGTGTTAGTTCTATTCTGTAGAGTGTTAGTTCTAATCTGCACAGTGTTAGTTCTATTCTGTAGAGTGTTAGTTCTAATCTGCACAGTGTTAGTTCTATTCTGTAGAGTGTTAGTTCTAATCTGCACAGTGTTAGTTCTATTCTGTAGAGTGTTAGTTCTAATCTGCACAGTGTTAGTTCTATTCTGTAGAGTGTTAGTTCTAATCTGCACAGTGTTAGTTCTATTCTGTAGAGTGTTAGTTCTAATCTGCACAGTGTTAGTTCTATTCTGTAGAGTGTTAGTTCTAATCTGCACAGTGTTAGTTCTATTCTGTAGAGTGTTAGTTCTAATCTGCACAGTGTTAGTTCTATTCTGCACAGTGTTAGTTCAAGTCTGTAGCGTGTGATGGCTTGTTAGTTCTATTTTATTACACGTTATATCTAATTTATACCACGTTATATCTAATTTATGTTAGTTCTAATTTAAACCACGTTATAAACCTAATTTATACCATGTTATATCTCATTTATACCAAGTTAGTTCTATTTTATAACAAGTTAGTTCTAAAATTTTAACCAAGTTTGTTCTAATTTATACCAAGTTAGTTCTATTTTATACCATGTTAGTTCTAATTTATACCAAGTTAGTTCTAATTTATATCAAGTTAGTTCTATTTTATAACAAGTTAGTTCTAATTTAAACCATATTAGTTCTAATTTATACCAAGTTAGTTCTATTTTATACCAAGTTACTTGTAATTTTAACCACGTTAGTTCTAATTTATACCACGTTAATTCTATTTTATAACACATTAGTTCTAATTTATACCAAGTTAGTTCTATTTTATACCACGTTAGTTCTAATTTATACCACATTAGTTCTAATTTATACCACGTTAGTTCTAATTTATAATAAGTTAGTTCTAATTTATACCATTTTAGTTCTATTTTATACCACGTTAGTTCTATTCTGTAGAGTGTTAGTTCTAATTTATACCACATTAGTTCTAATTTATACCACGTTAGTTCTAATTTATAACAAGTTAGTTCTAATTTATACCATTTTTGTTCTATTTTATACCACGTTAGTTCTATTCTGTAGAGTGTTAGTTCTAATCTGCACAGTGTTAGTTCTATTCTGTAGAGTGTTAGTTCTAATCTGCACAGTGTTAGTTCTATTCTGTAGAGTGTTAGTTCTAATCTGCATAGTGTTAGTTCTATTCTGTAGCGTGTGAT